GTGGGTCACATTTTTGTTGACTTGGTGCCCCCCCCGGACTGGATAAAAGTTACTGTGATCATATTCTGACCTTTTTTTTTCTCGTTTATTTATTACATGTAGTAGGCATTGGTAGATACCCAGGGACTCCCTCAAATCAATTTAAATGCCATTACAAGGGTCTTTGGGGTTGGGGGCTTGATTACAAATGGCTATATAACATTGACGGAGTTGGGCCCATGATCATTGGGTTCATTTCCTGTAAATAGATGATCAGCAAAAACCAGGTGATGATACAAACATGAGCAATCTTTAGTAAAATTTACAGTTTGGTTGCACAGCCTTAAAGTTTAAATATGCAAACATTTAAATAGGGACAAATCAACAGCGTTCTGCACAGTTACTATTTATAGCACTAAACTCAGACAAACAAAAGGTTAATTAATAACATGCAATTACAATACCATCCCTATCAGTAAAGACAGAGGGCGGGGAATACATGAATTCGGAAATATGCAGCCCTGCACAACCAAAATTTGCATTTATAGAAGACTTTTTCACAGACTTTCTGCACCAAAACCTGAATTTCCCCCCATGCTTTTTAGATATGAATGTAATTTGATCTCTACTCTGTCATGACATTGTGGTACTAATTCTTTTTAGACCTGAAAATGAGATGTGCAGAATGAATTGCCCAGTGTCTACAAAATGTGGATTGCTTCAAGTTGACGTAGCCTTCGGCCAGCACTGAATTGTTGAATTTGCTAAACGTTGTGATAGGACTGGCACAAGTCTGTGTTTATGTAGGGCGTACTACGCGTGCGCGTGTGCTGAATTGTTATGTTCAACCTCCCTGACGATGCCAATAAACCACGTCGTGTTCAAATCCTGCAAATGCAAAGCTATTCAGCCTTGTCAGTAACGCCACATGGTATCTGAAGTAATAAGGACCTATAGAGACTCACCCGAAGAGATGTGTTGGTAGAGTTACGGCCAAAATAACCAGGAAATGCAGGTGCTAAGTACTGACTATTCCTTACCGATTCTGGAAATTTCCATGTTCATTCAATACGTGCGTAACGTACACGCACACCCGGGGGGGGGAGCACGGAAGGGGTTTGCCCGTGGAGTGCGCACAACGGTCTGTAAGCCTATTCTCTTCATAAAAAACGGGGTGTCCATAAGGAGCTGTTTCATTTAAAGTTACAATCTCCAGCGTTGTTTACAATACATGGATTATTGAAGAACTTGTTCTATTTTCAATATGTACACCAGCCGTTTGTTTCATGGAGATTCTAGAAAAGGATTTCTATTTCAGCTTCTCGATCCAGCTATGATGGATCCTGCATCCGAACACGTTTATAATGCACACGCTGCGCTGTGGTATCCTCAAATTAACACCCCTAAATTTCATGCAAAACAACAATTTAATATGTAAAACTCCCACCTTCGACATCGATTTTTTTTTCTCTGAAATATAGGCCTCTCCTCCCGACTGTAGTCGTTTAAAGAAAATCCTTCCCTTCAACATGACCTTTTCCCACAACGTTATACAAAACGAATGTGGCATCCCATTCAAATTTTGTCCATTGCTTTTGGTTACGCGTACAGTCAAAAGTTCTTCAAGTTCGATCAAAACTCACAGTACGTCGAGACGCAGCACGCACAACCCGCCACGCACACAAATGTGTATGCGGGCAACGCGTTGGCAAGTTGGCACGGCACAGTCAAAAAGGAATTGCAGGTAAACAAAATATCTCTCCCAAAGACAATTTCCATCTCAAAAATTAACTTTTCTGATACAAGTGAAAGTCCCATATAAAACTGTGTCATACGGGTTTAAAAACTCCGAGCCAAAGTTGAAATTAATAAATTATCGATAAAAATTATTGCCGGCTGTTCGTGGATCGTGGTCCATGTTCACGCAGTTAAGAAACTAAGGATGTGCACGCCATTGCTGCACAATACTGAATGAGAAGAGTTTGAACGTAGCCTGGGGGCGCTTGTCGCATAATACCCTCCCCCCGCGTACACCTATGCTGTAACGTGGACCCTGTTACACTGTGTGTGAACTCTGATTTGGCTACTGTGTGCACAAATAAACTGCAGGCGTAGTAATGAATGTGGTACCGCCACCTAGCCCACATGAACGTACCGGTAATGTTGCAAAAAATTGGAAGAAGTTTAAACAACGTTTCCAGTTGTATATAATACATAGATGCGATTGGAGCATCAAAGAAGGTGTAGCGTTTTCTGCACAATTACTTAAATTATTTGCATTTATTTCTTTCAGTGAATTTAGCTTTCAGAATCTCCATTTTTAAGTTTGACAACTTTTTCATTTCCTGTATCCAGTTTGACACCAGGATTACCACATCCGAGGAGACTTGTTACCACTATGTTGTTGCTTCCCTCCAACTATCCATCACCCAAGAAGTACAAGACATTTTGATACATCCGCCTGCCAACCAGCCGTACACCATGTACACTGAAGGAAGAATTGGTCAAGCGTACAGGCGAGTCCGTAAAAACGGCTGCACAAACTCTTGACCTCTGAAGAGAAAAAAAAATCCCAATTCCTCCGGAAAATGCAAGAGCTGCTCGGATAACGCACGCTTGAACCGACCATATTCAAACAGTTATTCCTACAAAGGCTGCCAAGCAACGTCCAGCTTGTGCTTGCATCCTCTGCGGATAACGTTGATATTGACCAACTGGCTGTGCTGGCTAACAAAATTGTGGAAGTTGCCCTTACTGCACCCCTAAGACCAACTTGACATTGGAGAGATTTCACTTCAATAACTGTTGCCAGCAACCTGGTGAAAGCATTGACGCATACGTCACCAGACTTAGTCTTAGACACCAGTCTGCGTAAAGATTTACTCCTCGAGGTTCACGAAGGCCACAAGGGGATAGATAAAAGCCGATAAAGGCTGTATATTCTCCATATTTGTTGCCGTAGGGATACGGCCTTGAGAATTATGATCTCTAAAACGGCCTTAAGGCCAAAAAAGTCTCCGGTTTCTGGTCGTCAGCCGACGTAGATCTACACGTCGGAAAATGAAAAAAGTTTTTATTTTTGGTTTAAAACCATGTCCAAAAGCTGCCAAACTTGCTTGATCAACTGGAATCCTACTACTGCGTCATTTAACGTGTTTTTGATGGGCGTACGGAATCAATCAAGGAATCCTTGTAGCTCCCCATACATTTAGTCCGGCAGGCTTTTTCAGATGATGTCATTTCTGTATTATACATTTACATCTGGGAACCAAACAAGGTGGTCTTAAGTTCTGTGTGCGTATGCACAAGCTGAAAATGCTTTTAACCAGTAAAAGTGCGGGGGGAGTCTGTTGTAGTGTTAGTAGCAGCCGGCGTTACGTGCGCATGCAGTCGCAATGGCTATCGCGCCTATCATTTGCAGGTAAAAAAAAAAGAGGGTAAAAAAAAGCCGTCTCGCCGGGCCACTTTAAAGGCCAGCTCCTAACCAGAAAGCGGAGACTTTTTTGGCCTAATAATAGTCGAATGATGCACTGCTAAATGAGGGATGCTGCAACAACCTCAATACAAAGCGGAGTACTGTTTTCCAAGGCTCTTTTGGCTAATTCCTTAGAATTAATAACACTCGACGTGGCAGGATGCCATCGGCGTTAATCCGCCTCGAGCAGGAGCACCCGTCATCGGTTGAAAAGGCTGCGTTGGTGGCGAATTTTGGTTTTGTTGGTTGCGCTACGATGGTAACGCGTACATATCATAGTCGTTTGTGAACCAGCGAAGAGTAATTCCCGCCAAAGGGGTCTCTATTGCTATGGAAATTGCGCCCTCTCTTGGTCCGGCTCGGGACTCATTCAGCAATCATCAGCATGCGTCATTGACCCCAATAAGCACACTTTCTTCCCACGCCTATCTTACTGGTTAATTAAAACGATGTAGAGTATTCTCAGTTATCAAGGGCGGATCCAGAAGCAAGTTTTCGAGACGGGGGGCAAACTTGTATTTATGGGAGGGGGCAAAAATTGTGGAAATGTTTTCATGTAACCTTTTATGCACTTCCTGATGGGCGATGGTACATTTTGTTGATTATTTACACGCTTTTTTTTGGGGGGGGGGTGATACAGACCGTGATGAGAAGGCGACATTATTCAAATATCCGCTCATCGAGATATGTAATAACGGAGTATGATACCCAAATGTGGTAACTAACAGATCTCCAAAGCTTACAATCACAGTCAGAATGATTCTAGATGTTCAAATACTACTTCGAAATACACAATCTCACACGACGCTAGAACTGAATGTCATGAAAGAAGTACGCGTACTTAATAACTACAGAGAAGCATCGGGCTACCGCAATGCATGTACAATCAATGTCGAACGTGCCATGCACACGCTATAATATGGACCCCGTTAACGTTCAAACAAATTCTACACTGAGAGCCTCAAGAAATTACGTCATGTAGCTTCCCAAAACAAACAAACAAACAAACAAACAAACACCCCAACACCCCAACAAACAAACAAACAAACACCCCCAACACCCCAACAAACAAACAAACAACCCAACAAACAAACAAACAAACAAATCAGCCCACCATGATAGGAGACCTAGTATGAGACGCTCATGTTTGCTGGCAACAAACACAACAGTCCTAGTCTACCGATTGCACTATTCTGAACATGTACCCACTTTATAGCTTCTATATGACGTCAATAGAAAACAAACTGGTGCTTGCTGCCACCAAACGTGTTCCAGTGCCCCACTGGAACAGACCGAAGAGATTATATAAACATGTACAAATTTGTATGTTGCCGCGGGAAAGAGTCATATGCAGTGTTAACGTCACTTCAGAAAAAACAATAATTAGAAAAGGTGGAAGTCTGCGTGAAATGCAGTGGATTAATTAATTATGTTGCTTTAGCGTAAAAGATTTAAAAGCTCTAGCGACTCGAAGAGAAATACGCCAAAAATGATTAAATTTTCAAAACACTATATAACAAGCAAAACAGTATTAGAATAAAGCAGAGTGAATTGTAAGACGATTGTTTTCTTTATTTACCCTCCAGTTCGATCATTGCGAATTTCTCTTCTTTCATATCACATGTATACTATTTCTGAATATTTAACAACAATATCTATTCCAACTTGAAAATACAATGAACTATTAAAGGAAAATAGAATACATTCTATAAACCTGAAATCCGAACAGTGCACATTTAAATAATTTTGTTTTCCCTTAACCATCAGCTGCACATGGAGATGATATAAAGCGAAGGACTTCGGGAAAAATTCACTGAAATAAAGTCAATAAATCAAATAGCTACTCAAAGTACTTTCAACGTGTTGAACTGAGTCAATAGGAACCTGTAACCTCTACCTGGGTTCTCCAGTCGATGCATTGCACTTGAACTTGTCACAATTGGAAAATTGCTGAAATCGTAATCACGGATAATGAACATATACACGCTTTCCTGCACAATAACAAATGTTCAGTTGAAAAATCATTTCCTTCAATGGAAATCTCCCCTTCTCTGTCAGAAAAGAAATGAAAATGCAAATTCAACCTGATGAAGCATAGTAGCAGCTTTGACACAAAGATTGTATTTTTGGCAATGGACATTCGATGAAAGTTATTCTGTAACTTTTGACAAATTATCGTTAGACAGCTCCGTGGAAACATTATCTTATTCTACGGGCTGAAATCGCATTCAGAACTATTTTCAACACATGTGCGTTGAAAACTCGTTTCTGCAAACATCCAGCCCTCACGAATTCAAACATCATCCCCCTTCACCAATTAGAGATACGAAGGGACAGTTCAAACGGTAACACATTACTGCTTTGTCAACTTATGCATGCAGAATTAGTTTGGTATGTTTGGAAATTGTTTCACAATCACAATTCAGAAAAACCTCCAAAAGTTTCATTACAAAAAGATTTAGAGGCCAGCATTAAGACTAAATACGAGTTTAATAAATACCTGTGCACGCTCAGTACTTTCAGAAAAAAATGGCTTTCCACTTGCGGGATGTAACTACAAATTGCACACCTTTCCTTGCATTATGAAGGAACAGTTACTCTGTCATGGAGATTAGTGCAGTATTTCACTTTCTAAACAAGATGGCCAGCTGAGTTCCGTCTCTCCACGCTGGGTGAAATGTCGAAAGCAAACTCGCCCTCAGAGTGGCTCAGTTCGGCCGAGAAACTCACGCACTCCATGCTGCAACTGCTTTCCGCCCTTTTTTCTGTGGCCTTGCCGCCAATCTGGTCAGATGTCTCGCGGCTGGACCCTAGGACGCCCTCCAGAGCCCCGTTGGCTTCATTGATGTCCGTGGAGGTGGACAGCGGGCGCATGATCGAAGACGACCGTGAGCCCGGCCGCTGGAGACAATTGGCTGATAATGGACGGTTTTTCCTACCTGAAGCTGAGGATGGAGTGCGAATTTCCTCTTCCAGGGGATCCATTTCTTCATCCTGAAATACATGATAGATACATATTTTTAAAAAGTAACTATCTGCTGCAAAAAAATCAAACCAGGACGATGCAGCACAAATGCGCATAGCTTCTGGACTCGGCTAGCTTGGTACAGTAGCAACGACATCAGCATCAAATCTGTATATATCTTGTTAGTACACTAATGGCATTGGAGGTAGAGGCCTTCGGGTCAAAGTTTTGAAGTAAACTTTTCTTTACTCCCAGCATGTCCTACTTGTTTTGCCCTATTGTACAGCTGTTGTATTGTTTTGTATTGTGACGTATCCCTTTTGTACAACTTTATTGTAATGCCGAATAAAATAAAAGTAATAATAGTAACTTAACCTCGTCTTCGTCTTCATCAATAGCACGACGTCTGTATTCTCCTGGGATTCGTCGGTGTGCCAGTAAGCTGACCAGTGTCTCAATCTGTAAAAATGGCACACTTTATGTTAAGAGGGCCATATCTAACAAGTTTTGTGCACAAATTCCAAAAGTCAAACCCGTCTTAAAAGCGTGGAATAGGACGGGAAACCTTTTTAACTCCAATAGAAAGACAAAAAACCAAAATATAATCAATCAAACTTTAAAAATTTCAAGGCACAAGGCTGGAAAGACAGGTGACGATAAACGTTTGTTTATTGTTTCTAAAGCGCTCTGTCATCGTTTCTAAATCTTAACTTCATTTGACCCTGCCAACGTTCAGTGACAAGAGACCACTATAAGAATTTTTAAAGTTTTCTTTTCGGTAAAAGTCCTATTCCTACCTGTCTTTTAAATTCGTCAGCAATCAGTTGTGGGTTTGGTACGATTCCTTTATCAGCCTGAACAGCAACTCTCATCTGACCGGCATAGGTCAGGATGGATATACTTATGGGCACCTCGTCTCCTGGTGACATCCAGTACAGAATCATCTTAATATGCTTGCCGCCTAAAGAAAGGATGTCTTCCCCCAAAGCCAGGTTGGACACGGTGCAACTACTCTCTCCAAAGAAGGATGTAAGGATGCCCTGCGCCACCGACTCGGGGAATGTCGTTAAGACCGCTTGGGTCATGCCGTACAGCACCACGTGCTCTGCTGAGAGCTTGAGTTCATCCATGCGTCGCTTGGTGTCCCACAGTCGAGGGATTGCGCCTTCGGTGCTCGTTGGTAGCTTGACGTTGACCAAGGTGAAGTGGTTACCCATCGGCCCGATGCCACGCTGCAACTCAGAGCCTCGGAAGTCCACGGCCATATTGGAGTGAATGTTCTTTGGCCTGTCCACGCCTGAAGACTGGAGATAGAGTCTAAGGCTTCCGGCCACTGCTGACATGACCACATCGTTCAACGTACAACGGGTCACAAGTTTGACGCGGTATACAGGCGGCAAGTGGATGGCATCGGACCACGTCACCTCTTTCTGACCCGTCATTCGTCTCTCGCGGAACAGACTGAAGTCTTCGTTGCCGCAGAGGATCTGCCGGATGACAACGAGTGGTCCCACGATCAGTGCCCTTATTGCGTTGAAAGCGAACGCGCGTCTCCCAAAGCGTGTCTTTCGCGGCACATTAACAGGAGACTTCGTGTGTGTGTCTGCTAAGGCCTTGTGCAATAACTCGTTTAGATTTACACCGTCCGACACGCACGCGTGGATTCGGAAAAGTAAGAGCGTGTCCGGCTGTTCCTGACCCAGTTGGAGAACATGCATCTCCCAGAGTGGCCTGTCACGTTGAAAGGCCTGACAAGAGAGTTCGGAAACGTACCTAACAACGTCTGCTTTAGTTCTGAAAGACTCGGCAACTTTGATTATGTGGTTATCGATGTTAAAGTTATCGTCGTTGCTCCACTGGTAGCCGCACCCAGCTGGAATAACGCGCTGTGTAAATCGGGAGTACAACTTGCTACCTCGTCTGTTTTCGGCGGATATTAACCGAGCTAAAAGCAGGTCCCGAAGGCGCGTGACTTCCAGACTGCCTTCCAAATGAAGGAGACACTGGTTCACTGCCTGGTTCAACTCGGTTTCGTACAGCCAGTATCGGTCAACGGCAGACACTAGGTTTGGACAACCGACGCATGCGCAATGCCGACAGGATACCAGTCTCCGCACGCCGTACGCAACAGGAACAGCAACGAAGGTAACCAATAACACTGGAATGCATGTTGCCAGGGCAAGAAAGACGAAAACCAGCGTACCAATCAGAGGAAGAATCAGACTCTGGTCGGCTGGATGCTTGAGCCGTTTAACTGGCTTGGCTCCATTAGCCATGGAAGTGTGCGCATTGGTGGAGCTGTGGTGGTGCTCTTGTTGTTGGTATTGATGTTGGGCTCTGTCTTTGGGAAACTCTTTTCCTGGACTCGCCCTGGTGTACAGACTGGTCTCTGCATAATCCAGGGTCACGTGAAAGGAATCGACGCTGTCAGTCCGTGAAACTGTCCCCCGGGAGGGTCGAGTACAGGTGTCTGACGGCGACTGTTTCTTGGAACCCGCTAGGGGAAGTTGAAATAAAGATCACTCAAAGATTATGGAGACTATAAGCGGAAAAGTGTCCTATTACATGGCCAGAGAAAATGAGTAGATGTTTGATATAGGCCTAAGCATCACATTAAGTCCAAAACTGCCACTTCATTTGACTACCCTACGCAATTAATAAACTGGGCTTTTACAGAAAAATTTTACTGCATGAAACATGATAGTATGCAACGTCGACTGCGCCCTTAATAAGAGCATTTTCCCTTAAATAGAGCAAATTTTACTGCTATAGTTTTGAGCACGAAAGTAAATAACTTCAAAAATATTTTTGGAAACAAGGAAGACAATGCGGAGAAAGGACTGTGTCATCAAAACTTCGAACCTAAAGAGGGATTTCACATTAGCGCCCTCTGCGCATATCCGCATCGAAACCGAGGCTCTCTATGTTGAACTTCGTCGCGCGCCCAGGGAGTCGACACAGTACATGCAGCATCCGGTTCGTAAGTGTGACACAACTTCAGTTTAAACCACGCCCACTGCACAAGATACATGACAATCGCAGGTACGTTAGTTCGCGGTAAATTGCCGTTATTTTTTCTTTTGATTTTCTGCGTCGAGTCATCCTTAAAGACTCTTTCAAAATAATTTGCAGCCCCAAAGTCTGAATTTGATATACCTTTATGTCTTTTGTGTCTTGACTCCTTACTTTCAATCGTCTGATCGTATTAAGAATTGAAGCTGAAACATACAGCCTCGTTTTCGAACGCGGAAGTGCGCAGATCGACGCTAAAAGCGTCGTATTGGAATCCCTCTATACCTTTACCCACTAGTCTACACAAGTCAACACGTCTGTACCAACACACCCAAGTGTGTATTTGCCTGCAACTGGGGACCCCCTGTTGT